ACTTGCTGCTACTCAATCTCTCTGCCTTCCAAGTTCTTCATATACAAAGTGATATATAATGGTATGGTATTTAATAAGGTCCATGACTAGGCTTCCCCCCCCCCTCCCAGTCAGCCCCTTGTCTTAGATTTTCCTACAAAGCGAAACTGGCGGGCAGGTGGCTGCTGTGGCCCTGACTCTGGCAATGAGCCTGGATTGGGGCCAGAGTCAGACCCACAGCAGCCTCCTCTCCACCTCCACTTGCCCTCTGCAGCGTCTGCTCCCACCTGTATATCCTTCCTCCTCCTTACTGTCAGCACAGCTCAGCTCCAGCTCAGACTGGATTCCTTCCCGGGCATGGTATACAAAGAAACTCTGTCCCCTGCCCAGCCAATCAGCAGCACCGCCACTGCTGCCTGGCCCAGCAGAGGCTGAGCTTCCAGGTGCTGTGCTCTGTGCCCCAGGAGGGGACAGAGCCCAAGCAGCATCTGGCAGTAAAGGGAGAGGAAGAGGCAGATACTGGGGGAGAGGGACAGAGAGGCAGAGATTTGTGGAGAGAGGGTAGGGGAAGGAGCAGAAATAGTTGTGGGGAGGATGGCAGAGACGGGGGAGGCAGGATGGTTGCAAGGAGAAGTGGGGAGTAGAGGACAAGGGGCCACCTGACTCTCCCAGTCACTGCTTTCCCTGCTATAGCAGTGGAGGGAGGGAGGAGAATTTGAGACAGCCCTCCAATAATTAGATTCTACACCTGGAAAATTCCAACAAATGTATACATTTTCCCATGTATAGAATCTAATTATTGGGGGGTCGTCTTAAATTCAGGGTAGTCTTATATTTAGGTAAATACAGTACTTCATTTAAGAAAGTGTTTAAAATACCTCAGGTGAAAACTTAAGTATTACCTTATTATAAGTATTAAGTTATGAGGTAGCAATACAGTGATTTCAAACAAAATCAAAAAACCAAAAGAATATTTTTCTTGTAAAACATGATTAACTGATATCCTTAATGCATTTGTGAATTTCACTTATATAGCATAATTAGGGTCACTGATGAAAGTTAAGTAGGGCATATTTATTAAATGATATCTGTGGAACACACATTTGTGGCTGTTTATTTTTAATGCAAGTTACTTTACTAATGTAATGTTTGTTTATTCAAAGGGCCTCCTGTCAAACGTGAAAAACAGAGATACTGGGTCACCCACTCAGGCAAATGTAGAACAGTCTAACAAGAACAAGAATCCCAGTATAACATGGCTTTGTGAAGAGGACACTTTCAGTGACATCACCACTCCATCCTACAAGAAACCTCTGTATGGCATCTCTCACAAAATTACAGAAAAAAAGAACCCACCAGGGGGAGAGCAGTTTGCTTCCTATGAACTGTATGAAAAGATTAGTCCTAGCAGCCCATCACATCTTCGTAATGATCATCGCAAAAGGGACTCTGGGAATACCATGGTTGTGACACCTGCCAGCACAGATTCTGATCCAAATGTATATTCCTTGATACAAAAAATGTTTTACACACTCAACACCCTGAATTCCAACATGACTCAGCTTCACAGTAAAGTTGACCTCTTGTCTCTTGAGGTCAACAGAATTAAAAAACAAGTCAGCCCGACAGAGTCTGTAGCAGAGTTCAAGCCTCCCCCTGAGTACCAATTGACTGCCACGGAGCTGAAACAAATCATGGATCAAAGCACATCAGGTGGAGACTTGGCTTGTCGCTTACTTGTGCAGCTTTTCCCAGAGCTCTTCAGCGATGATGAGTTCAACAGGAGTTGCAGTGCATGCGGCTTCCTTAACAAAAAGAAACTTGAATCACTTCATCTGCAACTTATCCGGAACTACGTGGAAGTTTGTTACCCTTCTGTAAAGAATACTGCTGTCTGGCAACTGGAGTGTTTGCCACAACTCAATGATTTTTTCAGTAGGTTTTGGGCTCAAAGGGAGATGGAAAATAATCAGCAGAGTGTGCAGTCCTCCAGTTTTTATGAGGCTGACCAGGTGGATTCCTCTCATTTCATTGAGGATAAAGAGCAGGAGGAAGCTTTGTCACTGGACAGGAGTAGTGTAATTGGCTCAGATTATATTCTGGATGCTCAAGATCTCAATGAGTTTTTAGATGAAGCTTCCACGCCAGGGGAATTTTCTGTGTTTTTGTTGCACCGATTGTTTCCTGAGCTCTTTGACCACAGGAAGCTTGGTGAAAGGTATAGCTGCTATGGAGATTCAGGAAAGGAACAGCTGGATCCTTCTCGGCTTCAGATAATCCGCAGGTACACAGAAATATACTTTCCTGATGTGCAAGAGGAGGAAGCCTGGTTGCAACAGTGTGTCCAACGAATAAATGAAGAACTCGAAAGCATGTACATGGATGGGAGTGAGTGTGAACAGATGAGAGAAGATTGCTACGATTCCTCTAGTTTGCCAGATGATGTATCTATCATAAAAGTGGAGGACAGTTTTGACTATGAAAGGCCAGGAAGAAGATCAAAAAAAATTTGGCTTGTGCCAATAGATTTTGATAAACTTGACTTCCCCCCTCCTGATTTTGATGTTCCTGTTCCAGATTATTTGTTGAACAAGGAACAGATTAAAAATATATATGAAAGCAGTCTCTCCATAGGCAACTTTGCTTCTCGACTGCTTGTACATTTATTTCCTGAACTGTTTACTCATGAAAACTTAAGGAAGCAATACAACTGTAGTGGCTCTCTAGGCAAGAAACAACTTGATCCCGCTAGGATTAAGTTAATTCGACACTATGTGCAAATACTGTACCCAAGAGCAAAGAATGATAGAGTGTGGACGTTGGAATTTGTTGGGAAGCTTGATGAGAGATGTCGACGCAGAGATACTGAACAGAGACGTACATACCAGCAGCAGCGGAAAGTCCATGTGCCAGGGCCAGAGAGAAGAGAATTTCTTAGCTATGCAATAAACCCAGAAAGATTCAGAGAAGAGTTTGAAGGACCACCACTGCCTCCAGAAAGAAGCAGCAAGGATTTTTGCAAGATACCACTGGATGAACTTGTTGTTCCAACTCCAGACTTCCCCGTGCCTTCTCTGTATCTGCTGTCTGATAAGGAGGTAAGAGAGATCGTACAGCAGAGCCTTTCAGTCGGCAACTTTGCTGCCAGGCTTCTAGTAAGACTTTTTCCAGAGCTGTTTACTCCAGAGAATCTCAGACTGCAATATAACCATTCAGGTGCTTGTAACAAAAAACAGCTTGATCCCATTAGACTGAGACTGATCCGCCATTACGTTGAAGCTGTTTACCCCGTGGAGAAAATGGAAGAAGTATGGCACTATGAATGTATACCAAGCATTGATGAAAGATGCCGACGTCCCAACAGGAAAAAGTGTGATATACTGAAAAAAGCCAAGAAAGCAAAAAAGTGACAAGCCCTTTTAAATTCCCAAGACTTTGACCACTAAATTATTTGTGAGGAGCATGCTTTGCTTTAGACTTGGCAACTGTTCTCACAATGGGAGCTGAGGGCACTCAGCACCTGAAAGACTAGGCACTCAGATTGTTGCTTTTTAACTTGTGTGCTGCATATACAAGGGCACTGCAGCAGTGGGAAGTGGCTAACTACATTTGTACATGGTGAAGACCATGAATCACCAGTGATAAAGCCATTAATGACTCATTAAGAGCACAACATTTTGGCTGGAACAAAACATGTATTAAAATTGTGTTATTCCACTCCCCACTTTTGCACCTTCCTTTTTATCGCTTTTTAATAATAAATCTTTTTTTTTTTTTTTAATCGTGCTCTTCAGGGGCAGTTTTTCATTAAACACTTGTACGCAGTTAAAGTTAAATAATTTGGCATTTGGAATCTGAATTTTATTTAAACCTGCAAACTTTATAGTTTCTGAAAGTGCCATGTTCACTGAAAATTATTGGAACATCAAACTGTTTCTACAGTAATTACAGCTATGCCTTTGTTTTGTCCTTGCTGATATTGGGATACTGAAAGTAATACCACAGCATCAAAGAATGGGTCAGAATGGTTTAATGTCCTTTTTTACTGTTACCCACATTTTATTTCTATTTGTTATAGGAACTGAGACTTAATCCCAGGCACTCAGCACAAATGTACATTTACATTTTGACCCTATGCCTGAATTTGTACCCTTACTCACGTGATTTATTGTATTGCCTTCATGGTGACTGCAGGTCTGAATAAGTTCTGCTTGTCCAAGTAAAGGGTGCAGAATAGAATCCAAATCTTCACCAGTAGAATGTGTTGCCATTGCTTGTTAGTCTCTTTGTTAGAAAAATACTTGAAACACGGAATGAAGGGAGACATCTTAGTCCTTATTCTTCATCAGAATCATGATTCCAAAGGTTTCCAGCATTAAATATTACACAAAGAAAGATCTGATTCTGTAATGCAATTAAATGCTGCAAGGTCCTCACCTGTGAGGTGTGTCGATTTAACCCATTGTTTGTAAATGCAGCACAGCCTGAATACTCCAAAGGTCATAGGGGTATTGAAATTCCTTCAATTATCCAAGCTTATTTAGTGTAATAAATAGCTGTTTGGAGAGGTAATCTTGTATGTATAACAGGTTCAGAGGACTGAGATTGCATTAAAAACAGAGCCTGGTTTTTCTGTTATTTATACTGATGAAAAGCAGAAGGAATTCCACTGCTGAAATGAAGAGAATCAAGCCTCCAGGTGGGTGTTAGTAAGGACAGTGATCACTTAAGACTGACCATCCCTAGAACACTTTGAGTTTTAGTTAATGTTCTTTGTGTTCCTCCTTTGGCATTTATCAAGATGGGTTATAGTATCAAATTAGAAGTAAGCCCCACTGTAAATTTATATTTTAGACTTTGTAAAAAATACTTGATATTTTTACTTCAGATTTTTAGAATTTATTGTTCTTAGAATCATGTTGACACCTTTCTTTAATTTTTCCCCTAAAGGCAAAAGATAGCAAAGTTACATTATGTTAAAGTTACGTTATGTAAGTCACATGAGCTAGTAGTGGTCACTCATTTTTCCCATTGTGATAGCAGAATCCTCAAAGAATGTATGAAGAGAGTCTTGAATGTACTAAGTAATACACTAATACTGTTAAAATTCACTTGTTTCTTCCTCTTGGCATAAATAATAGCAGACCATGCACAAAATGGATATCAGAGCAAATGTGGCTATAAATAAAATGAAAACATTTTACCAAAGATTATGAACTGATACCATGATGTGTGCATCTTACCTTTCAGATTAGTGCATATTTTTAGCACCTGAATGTAGTGGAACCTCAAAGTTTTGGGTTTTTTTTACAATCGTGTGTTAACTAGCACCTCTATGTGAACTTTTCTACATGCACTTTTATGGGCTACATAAAATGTCATGAAAAGAATGAAGGTCTTTTTTTAATTTACTGTTGAAAACGGCTTGCATTTATCCTGCAGCCCAAAAAGGTAAGGGTTGTAATATGCAGATTCTCTTTATAATTTATTTGTACTTATTTTAATGTCACATTTGTTTCACTGATATGTAACAGCAAACCCCACATAAGGATTCAGCATATCACACAGTTAGGAAAGAGATGATGAGAACTGACAGATGTTTCTATCCAGTATGAAAACTGAAAATGTTTTGATATTCATTATACGTTACTAAGTCATTTTCTTGTTAAATCAGTCAGATGAAACTATTCATATGATACACTAATAGTTTAGGAATGGATTTTGTCCTTAAAACATTATCACCAAAAGTGAGCATGCAGCAAGAACCTGGTTGCATTTCCTTTTATATTACATACATGTTATACACTCCTCTAATCTGATTGTCCAAAATCCTTTTATGATCCAACTTGCTTTCAAATAGCTGTTTTTTATAAATGATATTAAGTCAACACAAGCACATTTAAAACAACAGTAAGATTGCCAAAGGAAACTTCTTTGAGGTGCAAATTCATCCAACTGGTCAGTTTTAAAAATGGAGTAATTATATGTATCAATTACTGTTATGAGAGAGTAAAGTTAGCTATGAACAATTACATGAATAGTAACTTCTTTTTTTGTTTAGTTTGTCTAAGATTTGTTACTAAGTTCTGGATTGTCATTTACCTGTTGAATGAATAAGCAGGGACAGCTTGATTTGCTGTAACTATTATGACATCCTCTCTCTTTTAGAATGTAACTTTAAAAAGAAAAACTGGTTGTTTTGAAAATGAGGCAGTAAATAAGAAATTTCTAAGTATTAACTGAAAAAAACTCAAAACAAATGTAATCATATACACACTGACTTCATAATAGGTGAATATTATTTTACCCATCAGGTCAACAAATCCTGTTCAGAAGAATATTGAGTATCACTGCTTGCTTATTATAACTGAAACATTTCATTGTGATAAGGACTGAATAATTCACTCTCCTTTGAAGACCCTCAAGGAAACAGCATAACATTTCTTGGCTCTATTTGCCGGGGTGGTGGTGTTTTTCCCAATACAAAAGAATATGGAACTGCTTTTAGCATCTCACCCATTTCACACAAATGAAAACTCAGGAGCTTTGCAAGAACTTTTAATGTGTGTAATCTTTTGTGAAATGTAAAGAAGTTAGAGCTATCTAGCAGCCATCTTTAGCAGGGAAAGTCAAATAGCATCTTACTTTCAAAAGTGAAAAATAACCCTTGTTTGAAATGATTGCATTTGGTTACTCTTATAGGTCAGCTGTAACCCTAATCAATTTGTTACAATTTTGTACTTTTCAGTAATAAAAATTACTTTCTCTCGCTTCTTAGCAAACTAGAACTACTTCTAAATACTTTCCTGTTTTTAAAATGCACATAGATTATGTATACATTTTCTCTTTGGGTGCATTTTTTTAATTCAGCTAAAGCTTTGT